TGTCTACTGACAAAAATTTCCCTTCTAATTTGGCTAAAATAGGATGTTCTGCTCTGAAGAGGGACATAATATGCAGGGTTTTTTTTAGAACTGTATTTTACTTTAGTGAGAAGTGGTCATCTGATACACAGTCTCTGGATCTATGCCCACCAGCATTTCAGAATCACAGGTAAGGAAAGTGCATAGACCAGAACTGGTCTTGTACCAACTATGTCAGGGAGTGTGGACTCCAGTCTGTTGGGTAATAGCGAAAAGCAGAGATGAAAGACAGAAAGTGGGCAGAGTGGAATAACATATAACTCTGAATCAAAATCCTTCATAAATCCTCTGATGTCTTAAGAGATATCGTCAGACACTGACACATCAGGCACGTGCAATTTGGGGTGAGTTTGTGCGAGGCACAGTATGTAAGAATACGTAGAAGGAGGCTTTTCTCTTACATCCCTGGGTTTCCTGCTGTATTTTTATAGGCAAATGACAGAATGAATGCTGAGACAAATGTCTCCTCAGTGGAGAAAAGTTAAGATTTGAGCAGAGAAACTAATTGGTGAGCCTACAGAATATTTTTTTTTTCAGATTTGTGTAGGTCCCAGTTTCCTGTGTGTGTGTGTGTGTGTCTGGTCTTTGTGTGCGTGTATATGCTGATATGTTAAAATATGACTTCATAAATTCCATCTGTGGCTGGTAGTAGTCACACACGGAGACCTGTGTATTAGCCATTCCCTTCAGCTCTAGAGATGCTTAAAGCAGATATGTTTGATGTTTCCTACAGCATGTACAATAATAATGTGCTATACAGATTTATTGTTTGGGTTTTTTTTTCTTTTCTATTTCTTTCCTCTTCTTTTTCCATTCACACGTCTCCTTTTCTGTCTTTCCCAAATACTGAGTCACTAGCTTTTTCTGTCAAAGGTTTTTTCTAACTCTTTGTAACTAATGTTGCACAGAACTTATGTAAGACAATTGTGCTATTTAATTAAATGGTATAGGGACTGTTAATATATACTACATTGTGTTTTTTTCTGTAGAACAGCCATTTTCAAACTTTCCTGATACCGATAATAAAATATTTTTTGAACACGTGCCTTAATTATATGCACATTTATTCACAGAGTGTGTGTGTACCATTACACTAATATATTATACAATTTAAAAGTAACCAAAAAAATAAAAAGCAGTGATAGGTACATATATATGGACAATTATACATATGTGAAAATACTTAATACTACTGTCTTTTCAGTCTTCAGGGGATCATCACATGTCCTTTCTGGAATGAATCCACACCACTCAACAGACTGAGCCTTGAACCTGGATTTTCCCTAAAATAAATACTATTCTTTTCATTATACAGAGTTAAACTTTTTATTCTAAGCTCTGTAAAGGAGTGATTTTAGACAAGCAATATTATACTTAGTTATTCAAGTACACAAAAAAGAGCGCTCATTGTTTAAAACTATGCAGTTTCTTTATGTACTTAAACTGAGTGGTACACACCTACGTTCTTCTATAACTTGTCAATTGGGACAATAAAGAAAACTCATTCTAAATTAAATTTTCTAACCACAGTAGCTTTAGTTTTCTTCTCTTAAAAGGAATGGCTTAGACTATAGGAGCCTTACTGTTGCTTCCCCCTCTTCTTTGCTAAGATTGTATATTGTGATATAATTAATTAAAAAATTTATACTGGCAAATTTTGTATTGTAACGTATTGTTTGTTGAAAGGCTCTCCCTTGGGCATCATACCGGGAAGAGGAAAAGAAGGAAATCGGGAGTACATAATCAGTACTTGAGATTCACATAGTGTTAATTAAGCTGCATGAACAAGCCGTGGGGTGGCCGCGGAGTGGTACTTAACCAGGGATGCAGCTAGGAGACTACCTCTAAGTTAGGTGACAAGTGGACCTATTGTTGGGAAACTGGGGCACAGCTTGGATCAGGGCATTACAAGGACACCAGGTCTGAGGAGGGTGATAGGAGGAAGCAGAGAGCAAGGCAGAGGGTTAGCAGGCAGGAACTGGAAATTCCACAGGAACTGTAGCAAGTAAATACTCAGTAAACTGTTCGGGTTGGTGGATGAGGAGAAAAGGCGTGTAATCCCAAGCCACTGCTCAGCCGCAAGCATAGTACAGCCACCAAAATGCAAAGCTCCTGATAATTGGAGTTACACTGTATCTCAGTTGGGAAACTTTTCTTATGACTCACAAAGTTAGGAATCCCAAAAAGGTGCTGGATGCCTGCCTCTTAAATTAGACAGCAGCACTGTAGAAACACAGGATGAATGGGAGTAAGAGTGTGGCTCTGAGAACAGTGTTTTTGTTTGTTTGTTTGCTTTAAATCTGGATGAAGGAAATGTTCAGAATTTACCCAGCACATCGGTGAGGATGGAAACTTGCTGTTTTTAGCTTAAGTGACGAATATGTCAAGTATTTTTAGCTGGAGAAGATCCAGGGTCTAGATGGAAGAAATAGTAATAACAATAAACACTGTTTCTTTATGATCTGCAGGCAGAGGAGATGGAGACAGAAAATAGCACAGTCATGACAGAATTCATCCTCCTTGGTATGACTCAGTCTCACAGTATTCAGCTCCTGGTCTTTGTGCTAGTTCTAATTTTCTACCTCATCATCCTCCCTGGAAATTTCCTCATCATCCTCACCATCAGGTCAGACCCTGGCCTCACGGCCCCTCTCTACTTCTTTCTGGGCAACTTGGCCTTCCTGGATGCATCCTACTCCTTCATTGTGGCTCCCAGGATGCTGGCGGACTTCTTCTCTGAGAAGAAGGTGATCTCCTATAGAGGCTGCATCACTCAGCTCTTTTTCTTGCACTTCCTTGGAGGAGGGGAGATGTTACTTTTAGTTGTGATGGCCTTTGACCGCTACATTGCCATCTGTCGTCCTTTATACTACTCTACCGTCATGAACCCAACAGCCTGCCATGTCTTGCTCTTGGCTCTGTGGCTTGGAGGATTTGTCCACTCCATTATCCAGGTTGCCATCATCCTCC